ACTATCAAGGTATTAACATTATTCAAGTGGTAAGACATGCACATTGGCAAAAAAAATATATGCTCCAAAGAATGCAAAAGAAAAAAAAACATGTGTAGGAAGCAGGGCAATAGCCTTAGCAATTTTCTCCACCTTTATGAAATGCCAATACCCTGTCAAGCTGATAATTTCCCATATAATTATCTGAATCACTGTTTCTATTTCGTTACTGCATGATTTTCCATGGCCTACAAACAAGATCCACAATCAACAATCAGCAACTGTAAAATGCTTCAAACTCAATGTTACATCCAGCTTTCAAGTGATCTCTAGCTAAGGGGAGAGCACTGCCTTGCATTTGGATGATCATTTCTTGTATTTCAGGTATGTTTCCAACATCTGAAACTTTGCACGGGCGCGCACACACACACAACCAATGTGTGTCTAATGTAAAATTGCTTTAAATGTTGATTTTTGAAAGGAAAAGAAGCTTACAATTTGCAAGTTGCCTTTGTGCCTAAGGACTTCAGATGAAGATAATATAGTGTTCTGGGACACTGATGGACACAAAGAAAGAGATATCTCTAGGACCACTGTACTGGTGTGCAGTCTTTCCCACTATCCATGCTTTCTACTGAGGAGTAATGGAACCCTTTAAAATTCAGAGGAGGTGTTGACAAAATGGTTCATATCAATCTATAAAAAGGTATTGATGAGACATAGCAATGGAGTTTTGCAGAAGTTCTTTTCTCAGCAGGATGCTCAAGGTGATGTTATTACTTCCACTGCTGCTTCTATGTCATACATTGTGCAAGAGACATTCTTTCAAATGCACCATGACTGAGGATGCCCTCTCCATTCTGCATAAATTTTACCAGCCAGGCAACCTTGTCATTGGGGGCATTGTTTCTCAAGTCATCTCCCTCCATAACAATCTCACTTTCATGGAACAGCCTGCACAGACACTGCTTGGGGAACCCATGTAAGGCAAAGTTCTTTCTCAATTATCTCTCTCCCACCAAAATATATCCTAATCTTACATCACGGTGAAAGCATCACTATACATTCAGCATAAATATTTATGATCTAAGAAAGATAACAATCCAAAAAACTATGGGCTTCTTGATCATTGTAGCTTCACATGCTATCCCCATTGTTTTCTGTCACACAGCTACTGGTGAGCATTTTCCTCTATGGGGCTCACTGAATCCTGTGCATTTCACTATGGAGTTTTCACTGACCAGCTGCATTCCAGATTGTTTGTCCTACAATTCCTGTCACTCCCTATGTATTTAAGAATGAAAGGTACCTACCAGAGAATGCATATAGTGCAGCCATCTAGAGCCACAATAGTACATCCATTATGTCACACTTTTCTATTTAGTAATGCACAGGTAAAATATCTTAGCAGTATACTTCCTTTGGCTCATGGTACCATTCTCTATCTTGATATATTGTGAATGAAATAAAGTTATATATCATGTAAGGTACTATAAATGATTGACTAAATAGGATTCTATGAACCAAATTAATGTCATTGTATTTCTCATACGTTCATGAACCTTTTGGTATTATGCTTCTCAGTAATGAGCCTAGACTGTATATGGGTTTGCAAGCCCTGGCTTCATCAAGTTATTTCTAAAAAATAAAAATAAATGTGCCAATTCATACATAAGAGCTATTCTCTTTCTCAGTATGCTGGAGCCAGATCCAATTAACACATGCAGCAATGCATTCAGCTCTGGCCTGATCTCTAAGTCTTTCAAGTCCTCATCTCATTGGAGAAATATCCATTGTAAAGTTCTTACCTTTTTTTATTTGCTTATGCAATCTCTTTCCAATTTCATATGATAATTTTAAGCTATCCCTCTGTCTTGAAAAAATAAAGATGTCAATGATGTGGAGTGTCAATGCATTGTGCTCCTGCTTTCCTGATGAAATGACCTATGCCTCCTCTTCCAGTTCGGTGCCTAAGAACTACCAGCATGTCCTGGCCTTGGCTTTTGCTGTGAAGCAGATCAATGAGAACCCCCACATCTTACCCAACATCTCCCTAGGCTTCCACATCCTCAATAGCTACTACTCAGCCAAGATGACCTTCAAGGCCACCCTCAACCTGCTTTCCACACAACACAGCTTTGTCCCCAACTACAAGTGTCATGGCAAAAATGTGCTAGCTGTCATTGGGGGATGCCTCTCCGAAATCTCTGCCAATGTGGCCATTCTTTCATCAATCTGGAAGACTCCACAGGTAAGCTGTATGCATGGCATTGTGCAGTTTTTGCAGGTGTGGCTCACTATCTTTTTCATTTCAATGAAGCATCAGTAAAAGAGCTGCTTAATCTTTTATTCATGCAAGCAAACTTGTCTTTAAAAAACTGTTTGGCCTCCCTCAAATGTAACTAAGTTTCCTGACTTGTCAGACTTTTTAAAGTGAACAAATCCTCATGGTACCTGAACATTTTCAGAAGCATGGACAAGTCTTTTCACTTTTAGAAATTTTAAACAAATTACTACGACCTCTGATCAATCACCTCTCAATATGCAGAATTTCAGTGTACCGATTAGCCATGACATAGTCACCCCAATTGTGTCAAGCATGATGCACCCTTTCCAAAGAAAAATCCCCATTTATGTTGAATTGCTCTTGAAACACTGGAATTTTAGTCTGTATGAATAAAATGATAGTTTAAAGGCTGTTAAAAAGGTAAAAGGAAAAGAAATCTCTGAGGCTTTTGCTCCACTTCACTAATGGCCATTAGGGGACAGTGCTCATCTCTGTTTCTGTGGCCATTAGCCAGTACCATTTGAAGATGATCCTGTGGTTGTGCGGACAGCATGAGATCATGGGGAATCCTTTACCTTCCCATGAAAGTGGTCCGCATTACATGCTTCCCAACTTCTAGGTTGTCTAGGAGGTAAGGGCGAATGACAGGGCCCCAGTCAATCTCGTGGATGCTGGACTCAAATCACTGGAATGCAAATCATTTCTGGCTGACAGTTCCAGCATCATTATGCCACTGTGCCACTGCTCCCCTTGTAAAAATGGAATTCTAGTTAAATTAGTGAAACCACATGAGTAGCTCTGAGTCCTGTTTTCATGGCTGCCCTTTACAGCTATCAACAAATTGGAAGGGGTTCAGAAAAGAGGAATGAAAATGGTTAGAAGTATGGGGGAAAGCCTGAAGTGAGGAAGGCTGAAGAAATTCTAATGTGCTTAGCCTGAAGAAAAATAGATGCATACATGAACATTCTTCATATAGCTGAGTTCAGTAGAAGAAGGCAAGAACTTGTTATCTCCTAGCTAGGTGACATGAGCAGATCTTACATCGATGTTAGGAGAAACAATATTCATGGTAAAGACAGTCAAAAAGTAAACCTGAATATCCAAAGGGGAGGGTTTTGCCTCCTAAAGGTCTTTTATACTGACCGTGTGCTGGACTTCCTTCAAGTGCCTATGAGGCTCTTCATGAGGAGATTTCCAATTTTGAATTCCCTGCATGAGAGAGGGTTTCATGATATTGCTTTAAGTGAACATGTATTTATATGCAGATCACCTATGGATCATTTCTGCCAGGGCAAGGGGGCAAAGACCAATTTCCATTTTTGTACCAGATGGTCCCAAATGAAGCCCAACAGTACAAGGGAGTTGTGCGGCTCCTTGGGCATTTCAGATGGACTTGGATTGGGCTTTGTGCTGTGGATGATGACAAAGGGCAAAGGTTCCTGCAGACAATGGTACCAATGCTTGCACAGAATCTCATCTGCGATGCCTTCATAGTGAGAATTCCAAAATGGGATTATGTGGAACAAGTAATTGCAATGATGTTGCGGCACTGGAAAAGCTACAATACTGTCATAGAAAGCAAAGCCAATGTAGTCTTTGTATATGGAGAACCTCCTTCCTTTCCGATGCTGAGTATGTTGCTGTTTCTAGCACCATTCTTGGACTTGCCACCACTGAGTAAAGTGTGGATTGTTACTTCCCATTGGGATTTTGCATCACATGCTCTTCAAAAGATGTGGGATATGCAAACCTTCCATGGTTCCATATCCTTCTCTGTTCACGCCAGTCAGCCATTAGGATTACAAATGTTTATGCAGGCAGTTAGACCTTCGTGGACAAAAGAGGATGGTTTTATCCAGGACTTCTGGCAACAAGCATTCATCTGTTTACTAAAACTCTCTGATGGGTGGGAGGAGGGCAGGGAGATCTGCTCAGGGGATGAGAAGCTGGAGAGCCTTCCTGGAACTTTCTTTGAAATGAAGATGACTGGTCACAGTTATAACATCTACAATGCTGCCTATGCTGTTGCATGCGCTTTGCATGCCATCTATGAGACAAGCTCAAAACACAGGAGACTGGCAGAAAGAGACAGTCCTGTGAATCCAAATGTGGAACCTTGGCAGGTAAGGACATTTAAACACATTTTAACAAAAAGGGTTGTAACTTTATAGTCCAGACATAAAGGGGTGATTGACCTCTACATAAAACAATGTCAGAAAAAAGCTTCCTGTTCATATGTTTGAACTGGTAGTACCAGTTCTAATAAGTTGGATCCAGATTTAATCATACCTTTAATCCATCCATCAAAATAAATGGAACTGCAGATTTAAGGCTGCCTTTTCTTTGCGTGAGTCATCTGCATCCAAGTCCATTTTCCAGGATCTCTCATTGAGAATCCAATCTAGACAAAGGTGATTTTTAAAATGATTATTCAGAATCTGCCTCCAACATGGCTCCAATGGGAGGGAAAATGTAGCAAGAAAGATATCTTCTATATTGGTCCAACAAAGTAATACTTCAGGTGCCGATGCAAACACTGGTGGGAACATTTCTTTGAAGTTCCTTGCAGTAATTCCAAAACCTCTGCTAATTTTCCCTTTCAACGTAGCTCCATCACTTTCTGAGCAGCATCTCATTCAATAACAATGCTGGGGACACTGTACATTTTAAGGAAAATGGAGAATTGGTTGCAGAGTTTGATGTTACCAACTGGCTGATGTTCCCCAATGGCTCTATGGCTAGAGTGAAAGTTGGAAGCCTGGACCCCCAGGCTCCTGCAGGACAAGAGTTAACCATTGATGCTGACAAAATCATGTGGCATACAAGCTTTAATCAGGTGAGTCTCAGCTGCAAATGCCTAAATATTGAAACATATTCCTTCTGATTGATATGGCACTTACAAGCAATTTGGGGACCTAGTGTTTCCATATGATTGGTGATAGTGTTTGGTACTGCTGAGTGCAGCCCTATCACCCTCATGGCAAATGCTGAGAAACCCACAAATGTAGATGTCTTCAAGCATCCAGTGCAACCGGGTAGCAAGCTCAGCCTCTGCTAGCCTCATTCCCTGTGTTTTAGCTAGAAAACACTCATCCTCTGCCTTCTAGATTTAGGGTCAGGGAGGGGGAGGGAAGGAGGTTGGGGCACCTGCCTGAAGTCCATGCAACTGCACAGCCTCAGTCTCCCTCCTTTCCCCTGCCAACCCTTCTTTTCTCCTCCTGAGCCCCTTATGGGGCAGCTGGCATTGCTCTCTCCTCAGTGCTTGGACACCAAAAGCCATCAGGTCTCCCAGTTAATGTCAAGAAAACATTGCACTTCATTCTTAAACCTCACTTAGAACAGATGCATGGTGCCTAGAGTGCTTTTGGGAAGGCCACCTCTTGGGCCCAGGAACTGGTAAGGCAACTCTGTTGAAGTGGAAAGCCATAACATGGGATCTGGAGAGTGGAGCCTTCCAAACCTGACCCAAATTCCTGCTCTCATGGCAGCACTACATGTAAGTTACTTCCAAGGCTGCTGGCAGTCCACAACATTTCTCATAAGTTCATTAACTGATTTCTTGAAGAGCAAGCTCAAAGTGGTTAGCCCACCCTTCTGCATTTGGAGGCTTCCTACTTCCTAACTTGATGACTGAGGTTCTTCCTACCACCAATGTCTGTCTTTCCACCAAAAGCACAATATCATGGGGATGGCCTGTACAAGAAGCTGTCCTAGATCATAAGATGCCTAGCTGACAAAGATTTCAACCTCATGGTTTCCTAGTGGGACCAATTGTTTTGGGACTAGGTTCAGTGATGTGACCTCCTCTTCAGTGCTTGGTGAAGAGCTGTGTGCATGACATCTATCACTTAGCCTTGTCATCTGCATGTTTTTCTGCAGGTGATGCCCACTTCCATGTGCAATGACTACTGCTATCCAGGCTACAGCAGGAGAAAGAAGGAACAAGAGAAATTTTGCTGCTATGACTGTGCTCCATGTCCAGAAGGCATGATCTCTCACCTGAAGGGTGTGTGTTCCAGTGTACAGACACATCTCCTTTATGTGACTTATTCATGACATATTTATCAGGAGAACAGGCACTTCATCAACATTAATGAATGTGCTCTTCAACAAAGATTTCTTTTAAAACAGTGGTTTTCAACCTTTTTCAGTTGGGGACTGGCAAAAATAGGAAAATTGTTTTGGGGAGAACTAAGGCAAAAATAAAAATCATTATATACATAATATAGTATTTTGTGTATTAGTTTTTAAATATAGTACCAAAAAATGAACATTTTCTAAAATAACCAGGAATTAAGGAGTAAAAAAATGCTAATAAAAGAATAAAATATTGAAATTAATTGTATTCAAATACTACTGAAATTTTTAGAGAGCAATATGTAATTCAAATAAGGCTACTGTGTAATCTATTGTTGCTTCTTTTCAAGAATACTTTTTTTAATAAGTTTTATTCAAAATAACCCTACAACAAAGAAAAACTAAAAACAAGACCAATCATCAGAAACATCAGAACTTTCGGGTGAGCCCCCACATTTTTTTTCCATTTGTGATCACTTAGAAACATATTTAAATCTATATGAAATCCCATTTCTCTAGCCAATGATAAAAAGAGTCCCGAGATTGATAGAAATCATTATCTTATTTCTCCTGCAATGACAAAGTCAATCTATCCATTTCTGCACAGTCCAAGATCTTTTTTAGGATCTGTTCATCAGTGGGTGGTTCTTCACTTTTCCAGTGTTGATCAAATGCAATCCTCGCCGCAGTAATTACATGTAAAATCAAATGCATTTCTTGCTTATTAATATCAACAGGTATAATGCCTAATAAGAAGACTTCAGGTTTAAAAGCTAGGGCTTTTTGTAGCATTTTCTCAAGCCATTTATGTATTTTAATCCAATACTTTTTCGCATTATCACAAGTCCACCACATATGATAGGAAGTACCCAATTTATGTTTTCATTTCCAACATCCATTTGACATATTTGGAAACATCTTGGCTAATCTATTTGGTGACAGATACCATCTATAAAACATTTTATACAGGTTTTCTTTATATGAAGTCACTAATGTTACCTTAGTATTTCTCTCCCACAGCTTTCGCCATTTTTCTAATTCAATATTATATCCAAAGTTTTGTGCCCATGTTATCATAGTTTCCTTAACCTGTTCATCTTCCATTCTTCTATCGAGTAAGAAATTATAGTCTTTTAATCATTTTCTCATCTGATGTAAGCATCACCTGATCAAATGCTGTTAAATCTTTATAAAAGCCCCACATTTTATAGTGTTTAGCATATCTCGATTGTATTTGCACCTTATGCCACCAAGAAATATTAGATCCTTGCTCTTGTGTTTCTAAATTCAATTTCAGTCCTCCATCATTATCCAAAATGTCATCATATCTTATGAACCCTTCAACAATCAATGCATTTGGATATACAAGAGCTTCCATAGGTGAAAGCCATCTTGGTCATTTATTATACAATTTTGTCTTTAACTTTTCCCACACCGACATTAAAGATCTCCTAATATAGTGACTTTAAAAAGAGCCATGTAACTTAGCCTTTTCATACCACATAGAAGCATGCCAACCCATTTGCAAATCATGCCCTTCAAGATACAAGATTCTCTTATTTCTTAAAGTTATCCATTCTTTTAGCTGCGGTAAAACAGAAGCTTGATAGTACAGCATCCAATTAGGGAGACCAAAGCCCCCATTCACTTTCGCCTCCTGAAGTATTTTTAGTTTAATCCTTGGTTTCTTCTTTCTCCATATAAATCTTGAGATTTGAAAATTTAAAACGTCAAAAAAAATTCTATCAATTTTTCTGGGAATCATTTGGAATAGAAACAAAACCTTTGGTAATATATTCATTTTAACTAGTGCTATTCTTCCCAGCAAGGATAATTGCAAATTAGCCCATTTTTCCAAATCTCTTTTAATATCCTTAAATAGATTGTCATAATTGTCTTCTTTCAGAGTGGTACACTTAGCTGTAAGATATATTCCCAAATATTTAACCTTTTTAACAATCTGAAAGTCTACTTGTTCCACCAGAGTTTTTCTCTGCTCCTGTGTGAGATTTTTTACTAACAATTTCGTCTTTTCTCTATTTATTTTCATCCCAGTAACCTCGCCATTCGGGAGGAAAGCTGTGGCAAATCTAGACAGCATACTAAAAAGCAGAGACATCACCCTGCCAACAAAAGTGCGTATAGTCAAGGCTATGGTTTTCCCAGTTGCAATGTATGGCTGTGAAAGCTGGACCATAAGGAAGGCTGAATACAAAAAGATTGAGGCCTTTGAATTGTGGTGCTGGAGGAGACTCCTGAGAGTCTCTTGGACCGCAAGGTGATTTAACCGGTCAGTCCTAGAGGAGATCAACCCTGACTGCTCTTTAGAAGGCCAGATCCTGAAGATGAAACTCAAATACTTTGGCCACCTAATGAGAAGGAAGGACTCCCTGGAGAAGAGCCTAATGCTGGTCACAATAGATGGCAAAAGAAGAAGGGGACAGCAGGGGATGAGGTGGCTAGATGGAGTCACTGAAGCAGTCAGTGTGAGCTTAGGTGGACTCTGGGGGATGGTGGAGGACAGGAAGGCCTGGAGGAGTGTTGTCCATAGGGTCGCGATGGGTCAGACACAACTTCGCGACTAACAACAACAACAACCTCGCCATATTCTTCAATCCTTTTTAGGCATTGTTACTAAGGGTTCCTCCATTATGAAAACTAGATCATCTGCAAATGCTTGCAGTTTATAGCTTTCATCTCTGATTCTAGTACCTTTAATGTCGATATTGTCCCTGATGTTTCTGTTTAACACTTCTAAGATCAATATAAACAACAGAGATGAAAGCGGGCATCCTTGTCTTGTACCCTTTTGTATATCTATAATATTTGTAAATTCTCCATGGATTATAATCCTAGCAGACTGCTTTTGATAAATGCTTGATATTGCATTAATAAACTTTTCAGCAAACTCCATTTGAACTAGCTGTTGCTTCATAAATTGCCAGTTAACATTGTCAAAAGCCTTCTGTGTGTCCATGAATAATAGTGCCATTGGTTTTTCCGTATGTATCTCATAATACTCTAAGATGTCCAGGTGAGTTCTCAAGTTATTCCTCATTTGTCTTTTAGGTAAAAAACCATTTCAATCTTAGTGAATAAAGTCTGTTAGATACTTCTTCAATCTTTCTGCCATTATGGAGGCAAAAATTTGTAATCCACATTTAATAGTGATATAGGTCTATGATTTTGAATCTGCGTCAAGTCTGTGTCTTCTTTCGGTATTAATGTGATATTTGCCTCTGTCCAAGTATTTGGTATTTTAGCATTTAACAATGCTGCATTACATATATCCTTAAGAAGTGTAGCAAAAATTCCTTCAAAGGATTTATAAAACTCTGCTGGTAGCCCATCCTTGCCAGGAGTTTTGTCGTTCTTTTGTCGCTTAATTGCTTCTATTACTTTATTTATTTATTTATTTATTTATTTATTATTAAAACATTTTTATGCCGCCCCATTCGCCGAAGCCGCGGGGCAGCTTACAACAATAAATTAAAATAACATTTTAAAATATATACATTAAAATACAAATATACGATATAAAACATACAATATAAAACAAGCCGCCCTGGACAGATAAAATTCAATAATATTAACATTTAAAATACTGCTTGAATAAAAAGGTCTTCACCTGGCGCCAAAAAACAAATAACGACGGTGCCAGGTTACTTCTTGATTCAATACTTTTTGGTATTTCTCCAGTAACTTTGGCAGATCTCCCTTTTGGATATATTCTTTTACTTTCTCAGTTTGAAATCTCATCATTCTGGTATAGCTTTGCAAAGAAATCTTCTGCTATTTTCTTGATATGTGTACTTTATACTTGCAGTCATCCTTCTCCATCCTTCAATTTACTTACCAGTCTCTTTTCTCTCTCTCTCTCTCTCTCTCTCTACTTTATAGGCTAACTATCTCCCTGGTTTATTAGCATTTACAAAGAAGTTCTGTTTGGTCAATTTCATTTGCTTAGTGAATTCATTTGTGTCCAGGAGGTTCAGTTCATGTTTTAGAATATTCATTTGTACCTTAAGGTTTTTTTTTTATTTTAGGATGGATCTTCCTATAATTCTTGTTCACATTTCGTCAATTCCTCTACTATTTTAGCTTGTTCTTGTTTTTTCCTTTTGTTTATTTTTGCTGAGTATGTTATTATCAGCCCCCTGACATAGGCATTGGCTGTATCCCAGACATTTTGCTAAGAGGTTTCTTCAGTTTTATTTATTTGAAAAAATATTTGCATTTCCCTATTTATTTCTTCTGTGAATTTTTTATCCTTTAATAAGACTTTGTTTAACCTTCATCTGGGCATTTTTACTGTCCCTTTCAGTGATAAAGTTACAGGATTGTGATCTGCCCAGACATTTGTCTCTATTTCAGCTTCTAGCAAATCTGGTCCTAAGTCTGGGGTTATCCAAACCATATCAATTCTAGACCACGACCTATGTCTATTCAAATAGAAAGTATATTTAGCAGAGGTTGGGTTTTTATGTCTCTAAACATCTATCAATCTGAATCCTTCAATCATATTAGAACAAGACTTTGGAAGTATCCTCCCGCCCTTTCTGCCCTTAATCTCACTCTTATGGTCCATTTTCTTGTCCACAATTGCATTAAAGTATCCCATTACACACACGATCTGGTAGTCCAATTGTAAGAGTAGAGCATGTAATTTTTGGTAGAACATTTCCTGATGATTGTCTGGGGCATAGATCACCACTAAAAGCACCTTTTTAAGTTTCATTGTGATTTCAGCCATCAAGATGCTACCATCCTCATCAACTAATATATATTTAGGGTCTAATTTTTCCTTTATATATAATGCTAAACCTCTTTTCTTTTGGGAAGTGGAAGATATGAATAGCTTTCCAAGCTTTAGACATTCCAAAAGCTTATTATGTTGTTTCGTAATATGTGTTTCTTGTAAGCAAATTATATCTAATTTTTGTTTTTGAAGTTGAGAAAGAATCCTTCTCCTCTTAGCGGGTCCGTTTAGTCCATTTATGTTTAAAGAGAGCAGTTCAATTTTTCCTTCCCTTTTGAGGGCCATATTTAAAAAGTATATATTTATCTACTTATGCTTCGCCTTTACACTTCTACCTTTTTTCTTTTCCTTTAGTTCCAGTGTCTGTCCCTCTTGTTGTAAATCTGTATTCACTATTTCTCCTTCTCCAGAGTGGTATGTTGTTAGTTCCATTGGTTCTGTGCCTTTCCCTCCTTCTTTTGGGGCACCCGATTCTTCCTCTTCAAATGTACTTCTAAATTTTTCATAAAACTCTTGTGTCTTGAAGATCAAGTCCAGCTTGTATCTTGTAGAGTTCCAGGTAAAAAATATTCCTTCTGGCATTAGCCACCTAAACATGATCTCTTTCTTAGTCAGCTCTGTAGTAAGGAATAAGTATTTCTTTCATCCTTCTTTAATCCTACATGGTATTTGTTTCAAAACTGTCACCTCATGATGATCATCCGCTTTTAAAGGTTTATCATGTACACCCCTCAAAACATTGTCTCTTATAGACCTTTTTGCAAATTTAACATGGACTTCTCTCAGAAGTTTATGTTTCCTAGCATAACTCGAATTTACTCTATAAACAAGGTCAATGCCTGCGTCCACCTCTTCATTTTCCAGGTCTAACGTCTCTGCCAACATGGTAGTAATTAATTCCCATAAATCCTCATGCTTTCCTGTGGGTATATTCTGGAATCTCAGATAGTTATATGCCTTCTCCATCTCTAATATAGCAAGTGAATCCCATAATGACTTGTTTGTTTGCTTTATTAATTGTGTTTCTTTGTCTACTGTTTCAATTTTTTCATGTGCTTGTTGTATTTTTTGTGTATTCTGTTCAGTTTTAAGTCAAACATCTGCCAGTTGAGTCGATACATCCTTAACAGAGCTATCCAGTTTGACAAGATGTTCTCTTTGTTCATTTGCAAAGTTTTTCTGCTCAGCTGACATGTTCCTCTGTCCTGCTAATATATCCCTCTGTTCTAAGCTTAATTTTGATATAGAATTTTGCATAGCCTCTTGGCATGCTTGCATAGCTGTTAAAGATGTTTGTATCACCAAAAGAGTCATTTGTAGATCTTTTTGATATTTTTTGGCATCTGCGGCTTTGGACTGGTGAGTTGGATTCTGAGCAGCTGAAGTAGGTGCCGAAGAGGATGAAGAGTGCATTTTTTTCATAGTGATGCTAGTTTTTTGCCAGTAACTGCAAGGCAGCAACAAAAAGAAAGAAAGAGAAGGAGGGGGGGATCTCCATAAACAAAAACAAAAAAGAGGAAGGAGACTTGTTATAAATCCAATAGCCACAGGATGGCAGCAAAGAGTTATTTTGTCTTTATGTGATGTCACAAAGAAGGGTAAAGAGAAAATGTCTGCTCATCACAGATAAGTAACAGTTTTTCTATCACTTAAGCCACAATAGTTTTTTATTCTGATTCCTCGCCCTTGGGAAAAAGAAATCTTTCTTTCCAGCCTCATATTTTCCAAATCTCAGTTTCTCTCCCCTAGATTAGTCACTGCTTAAACTCTGGCGGGGGGGGGGAATTCCTCTCTCTGTCAAGGGGGCTTTTCTTTCTTCTTTGTCCCAATTAGTATCTGCTTCAGTTCTTTCATGGGTAATATTGAAAAAGTAGAAATGCTCACCCAGCAGGTCCGATCAACTTCAAGCTGTTATTCTATGCTATATCTGGTTGTCTATGGCTTGCAGGGAGCTGATCTCTCCCCTGTATTGTTTGATTGAGAAAATCCAGAGTTTCTCCCAGTAAATGTGGATCCACTGCCCCAAATTGCCCAGAAGTATGCTCGGGCTTCTATTCCCTGCCCCGACAGGGCTTGGATGAGCCTTTCACAGCTCACTGTCGAACAAATTACTGGGAGCCCCCGTTCTTCACAGCCGTTTTGCCACGATGTCAACCGGCCTTTTCAAGAATACTTGATAAAAACTTTGCAATAGTAAAATACAAAATCAATATTAATGCAATACTACACTCATAGCAAATACAAAATCATATACAATATCAAGTGCAGGTCAATACAAAATCACAGTTACCTAATACAATGATATTCATAGTTTTAAATACTGCAATAGAATGAACCCGGCATACCCCCATACACAAAAGCAAGGACTGGCTGATAAAATAACTCCCTGCACAAGCCCACCTCGACATTTCCCTCCCACTGAGCTGCCTCTCCCCTCCCCAGCCTCCTGGTGGGGAATCGGCAGCATGAACACAGCTAGCCCCACCCTGGTTATGGCACCCCATGGCAGCAGCTCTTTCACAAACTGCCAGGAAATTCCTGTGGACCACACTGGTCTGTGGACCAAGAGTTGGAAAACAGTATTTTAAAAGAATCAAAGGAAGAGAAAGAGAGGGAGGGAGAGGGAGCCCAGGCAATATTTGCAATGTTAAAGAAGATACAGGAAGTATCAAACAGCCTTCTACCTGCCAGAAAGGGAAAAGGTACACAGAGGCAATGCTGGTGTTCATCATCCCTTGATGTCCTTAGGTTCAATGACCCCTCTCTGCAACTTTGGGTATGGGTGTGGGGAGGTATAATGTGCCTTGAAGTGCTATCTAATTGCAATTTTTTTGTACTAGGAGGGTAACGCAAGAGTTCCAACACTGACCATTTTAACAGGGACACATCATGCCAAGAACTTTTAAAATACATTGGGAAAGTATGTAGTATTATTATTCCCATATTCTACATGAGGTTTCAAACAGTGAAATAACAATTTGGCCAAAGGCTAAGTAATCGGCTCATAGCTTAATTGATCCATTTCATCAGCATCATTAAATAGTTTACCTTTCTATTCTTCTTTCCAGATATGGATGCTTGCATCAAATGCCTAGACGATCAATACCCCAACAAGGAACAAACACAATGTGTTCCCAAGATTCTAAGCTACCTTTCCTACCAAGAAGCTCTAGGTATCATTCTGACTAGCTTGGCTATAATGTTCTCTTTCATCACAGTTTTGGTACTTTGCACTTTTCTCGAGCAGAAGGACACCCCCATAGTCAAAGCCAACAACCGAAGCATCACCTACATCCTCCTCACCTCTCTCCTTCTTTGCTTCCTCTGCACTTTGCTCTTCATTGGACAGCCTGGAAAGGTGACCTGCCTCCTGCGACAAATACTTTTTGGCTTCATCTTCTCTGTGGCCCTTTCCAGCATCTTGGCAAAAACCATCACTGTGCTTCTGGCCTTCATGGCCACCAAGCCAGGCTCCAGGATGAGAAAAGGACTAGCCAATTCAATTGCCCTTACTGGTTCCTTCATTCAAGCAGCCATTTGTGCACTTTGGCTAGGCACGAAGCCTCCATTTCCAGACATGGACAAGCATTCACTGGATGACAAAATCATTCTGGAATGCAATGAGGGCTCCACTCCCATGTTTTATTGTGTCTTGGGCTATTTGGGATCCCTGGCTATAGTCAGCTTCACTGTGGCTTTCCTAGCCAGGAAGTTGCCTGACACATTCAATGAGGCCAAGTTCATCACCTTCAGCATGCTGGTCTTCTGCAG